AGACTCTGGAACAGTCCCTGAAGATTGGAGGGTGGCTCATGTCACTCCAATATTCACAAAGGGAGGTAGAAAGAAAGCAGGTAATTATAGACTGGTGAGCCTACCATGGGTGTGAGGAAAATTCTCGAAACAATTGTCAAGAGTTTTATAGCAGAGCATTTAGAAAGCAGTGGCAGGATGAGACAGAGTTAGAATGGATTTATGAAGGGGAAATCATGCTTGACAAATCTATTGGAATTCTATGAAGATGTAACTGGTAGAGTTGACAAGGGGGAGCCAGTCAATGTAGTATATTTGGACTTTAAGAAAGTGCTTGACAAAGTCCCACAACAGAGATTAATGTGCAAGACTAAAGCGCATGGGATTGGGGTAAGTGTATTGAGATGGATAGGAAACTGGTTGGCAGAGAGGAAACAAAGAGTAAGAATTAATGGGTCTTTTTCAAATTGGCAGGCAGTAACTTGTGGGGTGCCACAAGGATCGGTACGGGGACCCCAGCTATTCACAATATATATTAATGATTTGGATGAAGGGACAAAATGTAATATCTCAAGGTTTGCAGATGATACCAAGTTGGATGGGAAGGTGAACTATTACGAGGATGCAGTGATCCTTCAGCATGATCTGGACAGGTTGGGTGAGTGGGCAAATCAATGGCAGATGCAGTATAATTTGGATAAATGTGAGGTTATTCACTTTGGAAGCAAAAACAAGAAGGCAGATTACTATCTGCATGGCTTTAAATTGGGAGAGGGGAGTGTGCAGCAGGACATGGGTGTCCTTGTGCACTAGTTGCTGAAGGTAAGCATGCAGGTTCAACAGATGGTAAAGAAGGCAAATGGTATGTTGGCCTTCATTGCGGGAGGTTTTGAGTACAGGAGCAGGGATATGTTGTTGCAGTTATATGGGGCCTTGGTACGGGCCACACCTAGAATACTGTGTGCAGTTTTGGTCTCCTTTTCTGAGGAAGGATGTTCTTGCTTTCGAGGGAGTGCAGCAAAGGTTTATTAGGCTGATTCCGGGGATGGCGGGATTGGTGTATGAGGAGGGATTGACTAGGTTAGGATTGTTTTTGCTGGAGTTCAGACAAATGAGGGGTGATCTCATAGAGACGTATAAAATTCTAACAGGACTGGACAGGGTAGATGCAGGGACGATGTTCCCGATGGTGGGTGTGTCCAGAACCAGGCTTCACAATATGAGGATTCAGGGAAAACGATTTAGGACAGAGATGAGGAGACATCCTTCACCCAAAGAGTGGAGAGTCTGTGGAATTATTACCACAGGAAGTAGTTGATTGCAAAACATTGCATGTATTCAAGAAGCGACTAGACATAGCACTTGGGGCAAATGGGATCAAAGGTTACGGGGAGATTAGGCTTTTGAGTGGGACGATCAGTCATGATCGTGAATAATGGCGGAGCAGGCTCGAAGGGCTGAATGGCCTCCTCGTGCTCCTATCTTCTATGTTTCTATGTTAAGGCCAAAATAAAAATAACTAATGGTTCCTTGGCCAACCAATTAGAAGATGACAGCCAGATTCAGGAAAAAGGAGAAAAATTCAAAAAGTACAAGACAGGCTGCATTACCTGATCACCAATTCCATCCTTATCATTTGCCTTTGCTTCAGGCTGATTCGGACTATTCACAAACTCAATGACTTATTTTACCTCTCCACCAGTATGACTACCTACCTCTGCCATAGCTCATCTACATTTATGCTACCTACAGACATGACTATTCCAATGCCTGCCTAGGAATAATGTGCTGGCATTGCTTTGGAAGTATTAGTTTGAAAAGACAAGTCTGGCTGAAGATCACAGCAACAGCGTGAGGGAGCTGCAGGTAAGTGAACACATGTTGGAGTTAGAGAGCTCACTGCCAGGTAGATGCATTTGATGACTCGTGTGTCATTTTGTCCCAATTCTCAGGAATAATTTCAACTGTAGTGTCTGGCACAGAGAGCTGAAAGAGAGAGAAGGATATTTCAAGGGGGAAAAGAAGAGAATATAATTTCAGTCAAATCAAATTCCAAAATCTTTGAGGAGACTGAACACATGAGACATGAGCTGTCAGGTCTGCATGGAAGGCAAAGGCATTTTATGCCATGTGGAAGGAGGTGACAGTGTTACTACCTCATTGCCAAACTGCAATCCAGGGCTTGACAAAGTTTAAGGCCATGACTGTCAGGAAAGATAATCAACATTTTAAAAAAAACAGCAACTTTGGTTGATTTACACTATTCAGCCTCTCAGATTAAGACAATAAACTTTTGTTAAAGGAATGCACAACTAGGGATCTTACAGATGTTTTTACAATTCTATTTTGTTACTCCTTGGCTGTGATGTTAAACTAGATGAATTCCCAGCTTTTTAAAAAGATGTTCCATCAGATGATGAATTTTTGCACATAGGGCTCCAAAGCTGCAATCACACAGACTCCTGTGCACACATGAAATGACTGTGCCATAAAAATCAAAGACAATTATCACCTACATTATCATAACTGGGACAATTAATGGAAATAACCATGGCTCCAGATCCTCTTTCAGTGGAGTTTTACTATTGGAGATGTATAACTTTCCAATATACATCTCTATAGTAGAATTCTTAAAATCTTCAAGTTGTCTGTAATACCCTTTGGAAGGAGTATCTTCCTAAAATGTCACCTGATTCTATTTCTTCTGACCATGACTGCTTCTCCTTTTCCTTGATGATAGCATTCTTAAAAAGATACATGCAATACATTTCTTTTTACGCTTTTGTGGGAAGAGACTGTTACCAGCAAGGCCAGTATCTGTCACCAGTCCCTAATTATCTGTGAATTAAGTGACTCACTGGGGCCATTTCAGAGGGCAGTTAACAGTGAACTACATTGCTGTGGGTCTGGAGTCACATGTAGGCCAGACCAGGTAAGGATGGCAGATTTCTTTCCCTAAAAGAAGATTAGTGAACCAATTGGCTTTTTATGACAATTGAAGATGGTTTCTTGGTTACCATTACATACATGGTCAACAATTTCCCTCTTTCCTGGGCTGTTAATCTGGTCAATATTTTCACTCAATACTTCTCATTCAACCTTCAGTTAGATTGGAAAAGTAAAAGTTAAGAAATTTAATGGGAAGGGAAAGCGTAGGGTAAGAGGGAGTGTGGTATCACTGGCCTTTACTTAAATTTATTATGATTAACTGGTTGGGGACACAATTGGTGGATTACAGGCAGATGCAAAAAAATATTAGGAAATTTGGCACTCTTGATTTTGGATAGAAAATTAATGGAAATGTTTTCCAATCCTATTCTACTCAGGAAATATTTTGGCCTGATTTTGTAATAAGACAAGGCAAAGTTTGGAGAGAAAACTTTAAGAACATCTGCAAGATGCTGTTGCCAATTTAAAACCATTGCAATAATAGTTACTGTCTTTAAAAGATGGTTAAGAGCGATGTTCAAAACATACTATTGATTCAATCACAACGTTCTGGATGCTAGCTGGTTTAGAAATGGATCTTTTAATGTTTATGTTTAAAAGAAAATCCTTGGAGCTGAGACTTTACAATGCCACATCAAAATCAATAAAGTCAAACATTCTTCTGAGGGAATTGAATGTGAACCATGAACAATGTTCACAAAAGAATCTAACACTGTTGGTATTATTGTTTGAACAAAATAACATCTACGTGATTCACAGTACAGCATTTTAATCAATTTTACTGAATTATTTGATACTGTGCATACCAAACTATCTTAGTGCCATGTGTTAGTCCCTACACAGTATTTAATGTTGTATATAATGATTATTACTTTTCTAACAATAACACACAATAGAACCGTAACAGAGAGGTTTATTGTGGATAAAGTATGCTGACTTACTCAGTATATATTTCATATTTAACTATACCTTTTAAGTATTGAAGCTGTTAAATTATACAAAATGAAAAGGAAGACAAAAAGAAATTGTACCTTTTAATCTGTTCCATCCAACTGGCAACGCAGATAGCATGGATTCTTTCCAAGTTAGTTACCGCTTCTTCCTTTAGTAGTTAGACTAATGTATATTTTCTGAGATAAATTCTTCCCAGCATACACAGCATGAAAATAGACAAAACAATCTACTTCACGGTGCAGGATGATTCATCCTGTTTAGAAACGTTTAAGAAAATTGTAAATCTGCTCGGATGCTGAGAAGAAGTTTCCAAAGGGAATTTGCAACCTTTTACAGACTATCAACCCCAATTTAAGCCTTGGCGTGATACTCTCATGTCATGTTCACCTTCCCAACATGACTGCAAAGTTTACAACTAAAAGGAATAAACTCTAACCAATAAACTGCTGAGAATTTCAGGAACACTGAAGACCCTAGGTTTTTCCAAAGTTGTACATTCTAAATATTACCAGGCTTTCAAAATGTTGCCTCTACTTCTAAGCAATTGAAGACACAGAAGCATCAGTCTGTAACAACGGATTTCAATCAGTGATGGTCAGCGTGAAGCAGCAGCACATGCATTTTTCCAAGAGGAAAGCAACTTATGTACATGTGTCACCAACCACACTAACCATACTAAGCACATTAGAATGAGTTTAAAAAAAAACACAAATTCTGTATTGGAGTTTAAATGACACGTATAAATTGCTCAGGCTTTCCTTTCACTGATTACGGTTGCATGTGAAAGTCACATTGGAATTACAGTTCCTCTCTAATGAGTCACTTTGCATACAATTATTCAATATATCACTGTATGTAGTTTGTGCAGACGATAGAATACTGCTTAATTGCACAGTTTGATGACAGCAGGAAGGAGTAAGATGAAATGTGTATCACTGGTACTGTCATTAATGAGGATTTAGGATCCTGCTTAACATGAATTGATAGCAAAGCATTAATTGACAGTTGTACATTTTGATTAGATTAACACTTAAAAATAACAAAGCTACTTAAAGCAATCAAGTATTAAATGAGAGAAGTTTTTTTTAAATGCTCCTTAAGAAGAAACAGCTACATACCCTGATACAGAAAGCAAGCTACTGCGATCCATCACTCGCTGAATTTCTGAAAATGCACTGACTCCAGCCGTGGTCTCTCACCAGAGAAACAAGCACAGAAAATCACAGGAAAGTCCTTAATGATGATTACACTTCTCACCTCAAATGATTTCGGGATCACACTGACAATGGAAAAATTCCCTCTCTGCAGTTCTAAAACACAGTAGCTTATCTATTTAGCTCTGCACAGCCAGCAGCACTGACACTCTCTTTAAGCAACAGCAAGTAAAATGATTGCATGTGACAGTGCTTGTGCGTCCCACACAGAGAACATGCTGCACTCAGACATGGGACTGAAACCCCATAACCTTCTACAGCAGACTGCAGGGCACCGTGCTTAGCTGACGTACATCTTCTGTCCTTGTATATCTTAAATAGGACATTGCATTCTTTATGTTTAATTCTTCTGCCACAAATAAATTTCATAACTAAATGATGTGAAAAGAAACAAATAATTTGCTATTCTCAATAATTAAAATTTGAAAGATGATCTCCCCTTCAAATGAAGCCTACTCTTTAAGCTGCCTTTTAAAGGGACAATATTATCTTTAAAGCTCTATTACAGGGAACAGAGCATTGCAGCTGCCATTGGAAGCAAAGGAACATAAGCAGTTTGTTCATGCTCCATCACATTGTCATTTGGATGACTAGATTGCCTATTCTTATGATGCTTTCTCCACATTGCGTTGTGAAATAAGGCAGATACTGAAAGCTATTCTAAGGCCTTGCCAATGCCATATTAAAACCAAGCATCAGGACTGGCTGTGTACGATAGGCTATGTAACTGCCAAACCACACCACCTCTCCACTGTCCCTGCAACCTGCACCTCACCATCTCAGGATTGTTTTCATAATAGATATAACATAGACAAAAATACTTGCATTTGTATGGTACCTATCACAAGTTTGAGTTGCCCAGCACCATTTTAAAGCCAATTAAGTCCATATGAAATGTAGCACCTTTCAGAAATACAGCCACCAACTTGTTCATAATGAGGTCCAGAATAGCAATTCAATAATTACAAAATGATTTGTATGGATGTTGACTGAGGGTCACATCTTGGCCAAGATAGCAGGGAGAATGTTGTGACTTGCTCTGAGAAAAATTAACATGTCAGCTCAATGCAGCCTTTATGCAACTACTCATAACCCTAAAAGGAGAACAATAAAAGGTGGTAATTTTGCTAATTTAACAACATCCTCAAATGTTGCAAATTCTGCATTTCTTCCCCATTTAAAAAAGCTCATACACTACAATGCATAAGTGAACATAAGTTCTTAAAACATAATATGAATAAATAAGCTATCAATGATATTTTAAATTAACAGATTAGGTTGCATCAGAGATAGTAGGGACTGCAGATGCTGGAGAATCTGAGATAACAAGGTGTAGAGCTGGGTGAACACAGCAGGCCAAGCAGCATCATAGGAGCAGGAAGGCTGACGTTTCCAGGCCCAAAACGTCAGCTTTCCTGCTCCTATGATGCTGCTTGGCCTGCTGTGTTCATCCAGCTCTACACCTTGTTATCTCAGATTGGGTTGCATGATTGCTTTTACTGTAGTCACAGCAAAAACATTGATGATTAATAATTCCAGAGCAATTTACAAGTAAGAGAAATTTTCCGTAAAATTACGTATGTAACAAAATTATCGTTGACAAGAAGTAATGAAAAGAATAATTTATTCTTTCTTTCTCCTGACAAAATTTAAATTATGAACACTGAACTTTGACTTTGATTGCCAAGTTCATTTAATGGTTAGAACTGGGACATTGAATGATTAGCCTCAATGAAGAACCCTAGCTTGCTGTGGGGGTTTCTATGATAATGATCAACTTCAGTTCCCTTGTGATTTTCACTGTCTTGCTCACTTTCACTTTAGCCGAGAGGAGGAATTTTGTTATGACAACAGGTTTATCATGCTCGCATCTTGTCAGATCTCCTTTTTCAAGCAAATAGTCTGTATAACACTGAGAGTCTCTACCCAATCTTCATTAGATTTGTAAATACATCTAGTCTACTTTCAACAACTCTACAAATCTTTTTATCGCCTCTGCAGTTTCCCACGATGATCTTCCAACCAGCACTGAACTCTGTACATTTCATGCTTCATGTATCATTACTCATCACCCACCGGGTCCTGTTTTCCTTTTGCTTTACTATTAACGTAGAATTAAACAAACTAAACATCATCCTAGGAGGGTAATTAACACTAATTCAGATAAGGTGAACAACCTGTTGTAGGCTGTGTGGTTATTTATAAGAGAACAGAACATTGTCTCATTTATTTTGAACGGCAATATGGAAATTATGGTTCAGTTTGTCACCTAGTAAGTACTTCTGAGAAGGGGGGAGGTGGGAGGGTCAGTTAGCTGGGATGGCTACTTTGTGCTGCAGAGTGATGCCAACATGGGTTTAATTCTCACATTTGCTGAGGGCTCTACTTCTCAACTTATCCTGAGGCACTGTGATCATCAGGTTAAACCACCACCAATTATCTCTCTCTAATGAGAGGGCAGCCCAACGGTCTGGTAAGACAATGGCTACTTTAGCTTCCGAGAAAATCTGGTTCACATTCTGTGCACTTCTTTTTGCAGCATCACGCAATACTGAGTGCTAAGTGATATTAGAATGTGTTGGATTCCGTTCTTACTCAGAAATACTTCAATCTCTTCTGGTGTACAGGTGCCAGTGTTGGACTGGGGTGGACAAGGTCAGAAGTCACACGATTGCAGGTTATAGTCCAACTGGTTTATTTGAAATCACAAGCTTTCAGAGTGCTGCTGCTTGGTCAAGTTGCCTTCATCTGACGAAGGAGTGGCGCTTCAAAAAGCTTGTGACTCTGAAAGCATGTTGGACAATAAACTGGTGTCAGGTGCCATCTGACTTTCTTCTGGAGGAAGCTGTGGACCATTATCTGATACCAAAACCTCTAGAAAAAACGTTATTGCAAACAAATTCTTCAAAACTTCAATAGCGGTTCACTAACATTTGAGGTATTGGGCATAGACTCAATTATTATCAATTCACTGTAACTGTTGATCAAAATAACTTGAGAGTAATTCTGTTCTGAATTTGTTCAGGTAGTTGAAACATGCGCTACAGGCTTCTCTACACCAGATTCTATTACGTGAGATAATACCACACCCAAACTCCTGTGGTGAGGCATCGCACACTGAAACCAATTGTTTCATGAGATCAAACTGGGTCCATTCTGCAGAACTTTCTTCACTTCTCTGGAACACTCCAGGAGTAGTAGGCACCCCAAAAGGTACAGTATCTCTTTGTATGCATGAATCACAAGTAGTTCATTATTGTCAATTACTTCTAATTTGACAACTATTTTAATGGACATTTCTCCACTGGCTATTTTTTTTTTAAATCACTGGTAGACATTGAATAACTGCCATCTCAATCCCTCATTTACTGTTTGTTTATCATCACCACAAATACAAACACAGCCATTTGGTTTTTGAACTACCACAATGTGTGTGGCCCATTCACTGCTCTTCACCTTCTTCCCTGTTCTTTCTAGTCTATTCATCTCTTGCTGCTTCTAAATGATTAAAAGGTACTGACCTATCCTTGCAAAATGTCACTTGGGCATTGCCCTTTATCTGGACTTTGACCTTCTGATGCCCAATTGTATCACTTTGTCAGCCTTGTTCAAAGACCAATTTGTGATGTCTTAGCTTTGTCAAAGTCAGACATATGCTTACTGATCCCTACCGTAAGTAACTACTTTTAATTCATTTTGTGGGGTGTGGGCATAGCTGGCTGGCCAGCATTTATTGCCCATCCCGAGTTGCCCTTGAGAAGGTGGTGGCGAGCTGCCTTCTTCAACGTCCAGCTGCTGTGGGTTGATCCACAATGCCATTAGGGGATGGAATTACAGGGTTTGGACCCAGTGACAGCGAAAGAATGGCAATACATTTTCATCTCAGGATAGTGAGTGGCTTGGAGGGGAACTTGAAGGTGGTGGTGTTCCTACATATCTCCTGTCCTTGTCCTTCTAGATGGAAGTAGTTGTGGCTTTCAAAGGTGCTGTCTGAGGATCTTTGGTGAATTTCTGCAGTGCATCTTGTAGATAGCACTCACTGCTGCTACTGAGCGTCAGTGGTGGAGGGTGTGGATGCTTGTGGATGTCGTGCCAATCAAGCCACTGCTTTGTCCTGGAGTGTGCCAAGCTTCTTGAGTGTTGTTGAAGCTGCACCCATCCAGGAAAGTGGGGAGTATTCCATCAGGCTCCTGGCTTGTGCCTTGTAGATGGTGGACAGACTTTGGAGAGTCAGAAGGTAAGTTACTTGCCGTAGTATTCCTAGCCTCTGACCTGCTCTTGTAGCCATTTTATTTATGTGGTGAGTCCAGTTGAGTTTCTGGTCAATGATAACTCCCAGGATGTTTATAGTGGGGGATTCAGTGATGGTAATGCTGTTGAATGTCAAGGGATAATGGTTAGATTATCTCTTATTACTCATGGTCATAGCCTGGCATTTGTGTGGCACAGCTGTTACTTGCCACTTGTCAGCCCAAGCCTGGATATTATCCAGATTTTGTTGCATGTGAACACGGACTGCTTCAGTATCTGAGGAGTCATGAATGGTGCTGAACATTATGCAATCATTGGCGAACATCCCCACTTCTGACCTTATGATGGAGGGAAGGTCATTGATGAAGCAGCTGAAGATGGTTGGGCCTAGGACACTACCCTGAGGAACTCCTGCAGAGATGTCCTGGAGCTGTGATGATTGATCTCCAACAACCACAACCATCTTCCTATGTGCCAGGTATGACACTAAACATTGGAGAGTTTGCCACCTGATACCCATTAATTCCAGTTTTGCTGGAGGTCCTTGATGCCACACTCGGTCAAATGCAGCCTTGATATCAAGGGCTGTCACTCTCACTTCACTTCTGAAATTCAGCTCTTTTGTCCATGTTTGAACCAAGGCTGTAATGAGGTGCTGAGCTGCCCTGGCGGAACCCAAACTGGGTGTCATTAAGCAGGTTGTTGCTGAACAGATGCTGCTGGATAGCACTGTTGATGACATTGTCCATCAACTTACTGAT